GCAGCCCCCCCCCGCCACGGACAGAGGCTGCCCTGCTCCCCGCCCCGCTGCTGCCTCTGATGGGGGGGCCAGGCGGAGCTGGTGCTCCAAGGGAGCCTGCCTCCTCCCCTCCCCCCAATGCTTCTGTGTGGGGGCAGATGGCTCCGTGGCAGCTGTGTGTGTCCTGGCTCAGCAGGGAGAAGAGGAGGGGTAAATGGCTCCATGGGATCCAGTGCTTATGGGGTGAAGCCAGCTCCTGCCTCCTGCGCACCCCCCAATACCGAGCGGGTGCATGTAGCCAACAAGATTAACCGATAAGCCCAGGCTTATCGATTCATCATGCAGTTATCGACATGCCGAGATCCCTAGCCAGCTCAGTCCAGACGGTACCGTGGGACAGCAGCGGTGCGGCGGGGGGCCCCCCTTGCCACGAGGCGGCCCCGCTGCACGTGAACAAGCCTTACGTGGTTCAGGTAGTTCTCGATCTTACGCAGGGTGGCTTCCGGGACTTTGATGTGGCAGGGTCTCCTCTGGTTCTCGCCAAACTCCCGGAGGGACGTCATGTTGTACATGGCATGGCTCAGGGGGTTGTTGTTCTTGTCCACTAAGCCCAGGCTCTGGAAAGGAAGGAGACAAACGGGGGCGGTAAGAGAGGCAAGAGCTCTCCCCGCCGTGGCAGCTGGGGTGGGGGGAAGGGAACACGGCACAGACGAGACTCCCGTCAGCATTTTCATCTGCCTCAGCCCCTCCGTGGCCAGACCCCTGCCCCCAAGACAGGCGGCGGGCAAGGAACAGGAAGTGTCCCTACTCAGGAAGGCCCCCAGCCCAACGGTTCCTGAGACCTAGGGCAAGAGGCGGAGACCACGGGGACGCTGTAAGATCTTCCCTGCCCCAGCCGCTCTGCTGTGAAACGGGAGCCCTGGGCTGTCCCTGCCCCGACGCGGACAACGAAGATCCAGGCCGGAGGAAAGGCGAGTACAGTCGCTTCCAACCGGACCCGCTTCCGAGAGCCAGTCACCCTCCGACGGGCACTTCCACAGCCTTCCGGAGAAGCCAGCCCAGACCTGCCTTTCCTGCTCGCCCGCTCCACGCTGGTTTTGGAGCCGGGTCACCCATTCCCTGCGCCAGAGAGCCGGGAGTCCAGAGCGCCGAAGGAGCAGGAAGCCAGACCGCCTTTCCCGGGGGAGCCGGGGGCTGAAAAGACCCTCCACTCGCCGGCTGGGCCTCGCGCATCACTTTGCTGATGGGCCAAAACAGAGCCACAGCGGCCCACCAGCTAGAGCTCAAGGCCAAACTCAGCTCCCCTTCGGATCAGCGCCAGAGCTCCCCCTCTGGCAGGGCTCCGGGAGATGGGTGGGGCCTCTGCACATCCCCCTCCCCGGGCCTCCTGGCCATGAAAGACCAAATTAATTTTTGAAATGAAAGTCAGTTGTATTCTGATGTCTACTTTACCTTGGCAAGAAATACAAAGCTAGGTGTGGAAGTGGAGGAAGATTCTCCTGTTAATTTGAATAGGCAGCTAGTGAGGGCACTCAAAACTAAATATAGGTTCCAGGGGAGGGATTATTAAAGCATCTGCTTAAAAATAAAAAACCTCTTTGCATAATGGGAGACAATATTCTCTATTGCCAGGGGAGAGGTAGTCTATGACTGCTTCTCCTTGGTTATTTTCTCCAGCCAAAGAATGGGCTAATGTTTGTAGGTAAATAAATCTGTTGGTGATTTACTCTACTCTTTTGTTATGCCAATGAAGTTGGTGGGGGTGGAGCATCATCAGCAAATGCCAGCTAGCCACATATTCATTATGAACGAAATGCTTCAGAGATCACTGTTAGGGCACTGTGATTTCTTCCACCAGCCTGGGTGCTTTTATCAGGCTTGGGGCTGAGGGCTGGAGTGCCAGGATGGGGGATGCAGACTCCGATCTTGGGCTAAAGGATTTTAAACGTGGGAGGGGTTCTGAGCTGAGCATGGGGCAGGGAGTTGAGGTGCAGGAAGGGGTTCAAGGTGCAGGCCGAGGGAGGGAGTTTGGGTGCAGGGGGACTCAGGTCTAGGGGCGCAGCAGGGGTCCAGGACTGGGGCCGGGGTTTGGAATGCAGGCTCCAGCTGGGCACCGCTTACCACAGGTGGCTGCTGGGTGGTGGTGCCGGGGACTAAGGCAGGCTCATCCCTACCCTGGCCCTGCACCGCTCCCAAAAGCAGCCAGCAAACTCCCTCCATCCCTGCCCCACTCCCGCTGCTCTGTGGAGTGGGATACCGGGCGGAGCACCCTGACAGCAGCACCCTCCTCCTCTTCCTGTCCCCTGCACAGCAAGCAAGAGGCTCCGGGGCTGGGAGGCAGCTCCAAGGCAGAGGGCAGGAGCAGCACGGCAGTGCTTAGAGGGGCAGATGAAGTGCCGGCACTTGACAGCCTCCCGGCCAAACCTGTCAGGATCCCCTGTCAGAGGCTCCAAGATCCACCAGCAGATCCCGATCGACTGGGTGGTGACCACTGGCCTAGAGACAAGGACAATCATCTGACCCAACTCTTCCCCCTGGACTCAGCGAGAGGTGGCAGCAGCAAACCCAGACAGTCTCAGAAACAGCAGCAGCCTTAGGGCTTGGCTGGGCCCCCCGGCCCGATCCCCTGTCAGAGGCTCCAAGATCCACCAGCAGATCCCGATCGACTGGGTGGTGACCACTGGCCTAGAGACAAGGACAATCATCTGACCCAACTCTTCCCCCTGGACTCAGCGAGAGGTGGCAGCAGCAAACCCAGACAGTCTCAGAAACAGCAGCAGCCTCAGGGCTGGGCTGCTCCGCCTGGCCCCGGTTCTGGTGTGAACAGCGCCCCCAACAGCCGGCTGGAAAGGATGGGGCGGTAGCAGCCTCAAGACTGGCTCCCAGACAGGTGCCACTCACCTTCAACTTCTGGCAGGCCAGGGCTGCTGCCTTGTTCTCCGCCTCAACCTTGCGGCGGCCTTTTCAGAAACAGCAGCAGCCTCAGGGCTGGGCTGCTCCGCCTGGCCCCGGTTCTGGTGTGAACAGCGCCCCCAACAGCCGGCTGGAAAGGATGGGGCGGTAGCAGCCTCAAGACTGGCTCCCAGACAGGTGCCACTCACCTTCAACTTCTGGCAGGCCAGGGCTGCTGCCTTGTTCTCCGCCTCAACCTTGCGGCGGCCTTTGGCAGCAAAGGTCATGGGGCAGGGCCAGCGCAGGGTGAGCTTGCAGATCTTCGTCTTGGTGCCCACAGTGCGGAACTGCATGAACTCCTGAAAGAGACACGGGCAGCTTTTGTGGGAAGAGGAAGGCGCCTGAGGTTTGTTTATCCGGGGGGAGCCTCTGAATGGGTTTACTAGGCGACATCACCTGAGCAGCAGGGCGTGTCTACCGGTAAGACTTGAACTCGGTTCCGTCTGGAACAGACTCCTAGAAAAGTAGGTCTGGAAGGGGCCTCAAAAGATCATCTCATCAAGGTCCTGCCTCAGCACAGGGACCAGGTAACCCTAGACCGCGCTCCACAGGCCTCTGTCCAACCTGTGCTTAAAAATCCCTCCCGCAATGGGGATCTTAACTATCCTTGTAGGGAGAAAGTTTTCCTAATATCGCACCTAAACCTTCCTGACTGCCAATTAAGGCCACTGCTTCTTGTTCTACCTTCAGGGGACATGGAGAACAGTTGACCAGCACCCTCAGGTTCTCCCTATCACCTTTCCTCAAGATGAAACACGCCCAGTTTTTAACCCTTTCCTCGTGGGTCAGGTTTTCTATGCCTCCGGCAGTGGTTGCTCTTATTTGGACTCTCTTCCTGAAGTATGGCACCCAGATCTGGCCCAACAGTCCAGCTGAGGCCTTACCAGTACTGAGCAGAGCGGGCAAATTATTTCCCATGTTTTATATGCAACACCCCTTTAATAAACCCCAGGTTCGATTAGCTTCTCTCACAACGGCCTCACATTGTTGGCTCATTCAGTTTGTGATCCGCTATTGCCCGCAGATCCCTCTCAACAGTACCGCCACCAAGCCAGCTACTCCCCATTTGTAACGGGCGGAGGGGGGGTTGATTTTTCCTTCCTCGGTGAAGTACTTTGCACTTAGTGAGACAAGTGGGTAAGGGAATATCTGCCATCGGACCAACTTCTGGAGTCCCCATTCAGTGTGTCCTGCACGTCTGACCGCGAACCACTGAGCTCTGCCTTCCAATCAGTGACCCACTCCCCTTACAGTCATTTCATGGAGAAATTTCCCTCATTTGCTCACGTCAGACTGTGTAAAAAACCTTATGAAAGTCAAGGTATTACGCATGTACCTGATCCCCCCCTACACTGAGCCAGTGGACTGTACCAAGACCAGGCCACTGTGAGGAGAACTTCATGGAAGGAGGGAGCTAGAAGGTGAAGGGTACCAGGGGAAGAGCTTAAACTTTGTTCCAGCCCCTGCAGGGCACAAAGTCTGGAGAGGAGGTGGGGAAAGGGGCAGGGGAAAGGAATGGCATTCGGGGCCAATCTGCAACAACAGATTCTGAGAGTAAAAGATACAGCGCTGCTGGCTACACAAACAAAAGGGGCTTGCAGCCCAATGCAGCCCAGCGAACACACAACCACTGCACATAACAGTGTCTCTTCGGAGTCACCAGGCTCCACTGCTTCTCCCAAGGGATTCCCCGCAGGGCCGCTGCCGGTAGGGCTTCCCTGCTCTTCAGCCTCATTGCCCTCAGCTCAGCGCTACCCACCTTGTCCTCGAAGAGCCCCAAAGAATCCCTCCCGTCCTCGCCAGCGACACCGTGCCATCGCCGCGGCCTAGCCGGCCACACTGCAACAAGCACATTCCCAACCCGAGAAGGCGGGAAAGGCCATTTCCACGGCAACTCACCTTGACCGTGGAGGAAGAGGTTGCAATCTGAATCACCTGGGCCAGGAGGTTTTTGGGCAGAGGGAACTGGGTCAGAGCCCTGATGGCGTTGTTGTCGTCCGTCATTTCCACCGAGGCCCCTCCCCTGAAAGGCAAACAAGGTGAAAATCAATTTCCCTTCTCGCTAATTCTATTGGAGCTCAGACTCCCCCACTTCCCCTCCCCCCGGCTCCTTTGCCCAGGTCTGCAACTGTATTCTCAAGGGCTGTGTCTCGACTACATGGCTCATCGACGGAGCCACGTAGATTAGGGTGGTCGGCAAAGGGAAACGAAGCAGCGATTTAAATAATCACCGCTTCATTTAAATTTAAATGGCTGATCAGCTGTTTGTCAGCTCAGCGCGCTAGTCTGGACACTCCCCTGCCAACATCAAAGCCCTTTGTCGACCTCCCCGTTATTCCTCGTGGGATGAGGTTTACCAGGGCGGTCGACAAAGGGCTTTGATGTCGACCGCGGAGCGTCCAGACTAGCGCGCTGAGCTGACAAACAGCTGATCAGCCATTTAAATGTAAATGAAGCTGCGATTATTTAAATCGTGGCTTCATTTCCCTTTGCCAAACAAACAAATCTACATGGCTCGATAAACAAATCTACGTGGCTCCGTCGAGGGAGCCATGTAGTGTAGACGTACCCAAGGTGAGTGCCGGAGCGTATGGAGTTAATTAGCAGTGGAGGGTTTGCACCTCGCCGGGTAGTGAGGACTCCCCCTCCATTGCGTTACACGGCTCAGAGCACAGAACGAAGACAATTCCCCTCGCCGGGGGGCCTCCGGGTCTCACCTCCAACTCTAGCCTCTACTGAAAGGAACAGTCCTCCCAAATATTTACAGCTGCAGTGCAAACTGGTGTGCGGGAATGGTTTTCACCAGTCCTTTAGAGACACAGGCAATGGCAGAGTATTCCCGTCCCTCCCCAACTGTTTCCCTTTTAAAAAAATGGAAATACAAGTCCTGACTTGCTCTCCCCTGGGGGACGCTGGCAATCTAAAGAGCAGGGGTCGGCTACTGTTTCAAACCGAAGAGCCAAACTAGATCAAAATTCAGAACAAGGGGTCAACCAAGGGCCATATAAGAATGCCCATTTGCAGGACTGAAAATATACAAATTAACGTTATTGATAATTGCCATAATGATTAATAATAGCATCAATGAAACCTTGAACCCACAGACTTTATATAAGGGGACTTCTGCTGCTGCATCTTTTTGCACATTTCTTTGAAATTTATATCATAACTGGTCAAATCCAACTTCGTGCAGGCATTCAGGGGGCTGAGGATGTGGGGGTGCAAGAGTCTGGGTTGGGGTGTATAAGGGGGCTCAGGGCACTGGGGTGGGATGTGTGTGGGGTGCAGGAGTGTTATGGCAGGAGACTGGGGATGTGGGGTTCTGAGGGGCTCAGGGCAGGGGGTTCAGGTGTATGATGGGCTCAGGACACAAGGTGGGGTGTGGGGGAGTGCAGGAGTGTTAGGACACTGTGGCCAGACCGGGGGGGGGGGGGGGGCGCACCG